ATAGTACCGATCTAAGAAACAACTATCATAAAGACAAAAGACACATACATAGTACCGATCTAAGAAACAACTATCATAAAGACAAAAGACACATACATAGTACCGATCTAAGAAACTACTATTATAAAGACAAAAGACACATACATAGTACCGATCTAAGAAACAACTATTATAAAGACAAAAGACTCATGCATAGTACCGATCTAAGAAACAACGATTATAAAGACAAAAGACACATACATAGTACCGATCTAAGAAACAACTATTATAAAGACAAAAGACACATACATAGTACCGATCTAAGAAACAACTGTTATAAAGACAAAAGACACATACATAGTACCGATCTAAGAAACAACTATCATAAAGACAAAAGACTCATGCATAGTACCGATCTAAGAAACAACTATCATAAAGACAAAAGACTCATGCATAGTACCGATCTAAGAAACAACGATTATAAAGACAAAAGACACATACATAGTACCGATCTAAGAAACAACTATTGTAAAGACAAAAGACACATACATAGTACCGATCTAAGAACACTCGCATTTACTGACATCTAATGAAAAGCCAATAACAAAAAAATAAATATATCATAGTCTCCCAGACTAATTACTTGTAGTAAAAGACATTAATTATCTATTTTGTTATAGATTCAGGTGCCGATTTAGACATCAATAAATCTGGAAGGAATCCTGTCGTAATCTAAACGTTGTGATAACAAAAACGATGAATTATATGCCATGAATGGTTTCAATAAATTAAACAAACCACATCTGTTTATTTTTATAAGTTATTCCATAAATCATATTACACAAACATGTATAACGAAGCCTATGAGAGAGGTTTAGGTCCGTATTAGTACATGCAGCTATTTGAAATAACATAACTTATTTTTTTCCAATCGGAAATAATGAAATAATTTATAAATGTATTACTAAGGCCATTAATTAATTTTACATAATGAAATGCCTGGCAAAAAGGTAATGCAAGCACACACTTAAATGTTGGTATTTGAGTAACAGGACAGCACCACTACATAATAAGTGAAATTAAAGAATTTGAAAAATGAGGTTTTTTTTTTGTCTTTGAGAAGGTTTTGCATTAATTTCCCTTCATTTGAATACAATAAAAAGCCAGAAGGGCAGCACAATTAGAACCCATTGCAGTATTGCGATATTTGTTTAAATATACAAAAATAAAGAAATAGGTTGACGATCAAAACGTGCAGCATTTTCATGATATCGTCCTCGGTGTCTTATTGTTGGAATCCGCTTGATTCATCGCAATTTATATCTACGATTTCCATATATGAAAAAAGAAAGGAAAAGAACTTTCTAATGAGAATATGTATTCGATCCTTTAGTTCAGCACGGGAAATAGTAGTGTAGAGCGTACAAAATAGTTTGATATTATTGCATAACTGTAATGTAGTGTTTGAAGATTGAAAATTGGTTGATGAATTTATATATAGAATAAAAAAAATCAGTTGTGATCAATCGTTGTTAATTTATATGTTATATCAAGTGGACGCCCACTTCCCAAAGAATATGTAACAAATACAATTGATCACAATATTGTTTTTGTGTTCCCATTTTCATTTATCTAGGTCGATTGAGAGCCCTTGTATTTGTCCTTAGTATATAATCAGTTGTAATGCTATCGTAATTCACATCAAATTTGGAAAGGTTCGATCTTGTTCAACTGAACTTTTCGATTTTATCATCGTTTCCTTAACGTCCAGTGACAAATATTTCATGAACTGCAATAAGCCATTCCAATAATGTAAACCTCCAAAAAATGGAGGGGAAATAATCTCTGTGGTTAGTTACATCCTCGTCTTATGTATAAAAAGAATGTCTTGTACTGAAACCAATACCTTCAATAATCAATCAGTGATTATTTGTATATTAACGACTTACATAACTCAGCCAGTGTGTTTAAATTTCGCTATTAATTTACATAATAACATGAAATTGATATGCACATGTTATTGAAGTGTATACCATTGTTAACCTACAATATATTTCATATAACAGTTGCAAAATAAGATCTTAATTCAATTTATGATTTTATTTTGTCGCTATTTAAAAAAAATATTATAGTTATATGGTGTACCTTTCATTGTGATAAATCTAATTCCGACTGGCCGTATATATATATATATATATATTCATATAGGTGAACTTTCGAGCAGGAGGCAATTGACCTATTACCTTAAACAATACTATCTTCGAAAGAAAGAACCGAAATGTTCTAACACGAATAAACGGAATGTTTTCACTGTGGGTTCCGTAAGGAAATTGATACACGTTCTGTTTCACCCACCAACACCCACCAAATAAGTAAAGGTCAATAGTGCACACATTTGTAACAATAATTTTGTAATTGAAAGAATGTAAATCATTTACGTACGTTGGTCTTATACTATATCATTGTGAATTTATCTCAATAAATATAGTCATTATCTTAGCAAATGAATTGTACCCATTATGCTTAATTTAAATGTATCTGCGTATTAATTCTGCAGAAACAATGCAAGCATAATAAACTTGAGGCTCTCAAGAGCCTATGTCGCTCATCTGATTCTACTTAGGTTTTGGAAATCATGTAAAAATAGATCAAAATCATAACAGATACCCTAATAATGATTGAGGCCAAATTTGGTTTAATATTGGTCCCTTAATTTAATCAAAAGCAGAAGAATTTTTTGTAAAGTTTACAGAAATTACCAATAAATTCATTGAAATTGTAGAAAACGACTTTATAAGGACAATAACTCAAACAAGATGTCATTTGACAATTTTGCTTATTTTGATTATGTGTAGATCTTCTTTTCTTGATATTTTTGCAGTTTACAGTATATCTCAATCTATAAAGATACATGTATTAAGGTCTTCATCAAGGAACATTTATGCCATGTTTGGTTTCATTCCATTCAGTGCTTCTCAAGAAGAAGCATTTGTATGTATTTCCCATAGGGTCTTATGTTAAACTAAGTCCCCCTGCCTGCGGCCATCTTGGATGATGGTTCGGCTACAAAGTAACAACACTTGGTCAGAACCTCGTTAGGAACATTCATGCCATGTTTGGTTTCATTTTATTCAGTGCTTCTCTAGAAGAAAGCATGTGTATGTATTTCCCTTAGGGTCCTATATTAAACTTACTCCCCCTGCTGGCAGCCATCTTGGATGACAAATCAGCTACAAAGTAACAACACTTGGTCAGCAATTCAAAAGAAACATTCATACCATGTTTGGTTTCAATCCATTAAGCGGTTTTCACGAAGAAGACATTTGTATATATTTCCCATAGGGTCCTTTGTAAAACTAAGTCCCCCGATGCAGCCATCTTGGTTGATGGATTTGCTACAAAGTAACAACACTTGGTCAGCACCTCATAAGGGACATTCGTGTCATGTTTGGTTTCATTCCATTCAGTGATTTTTCAAAAGAAGACTTTTGTATGTATTTCACATAGGGTCCTTTGTTAAACTAAGTTCCCCGCTGGCAGTAATCTTGGATGATTGATTGGCTACAAAGTAACAACACTTGGTCAGTACCTCATAAGGAACATTCATGCCATGTTTGGTTTCATTCCATTCAGTGGTTCTATAAAAGAAGACATTTGTATGTATTGTCCATAGGGTACTTTGTGAAACTAAGTTCCCCGCTGGCAGCCATCTTGGATGATTGATTGGCTACAAAGTAACAACACTTGGTCAGCACCTCATAAGGAACATTCATACCATGTTTGGTTTTATTCCATTTAGTGGTTCTCTAGAAGAAGTTCAAAATGTAAAAAGTTAACGACGCCGACGACGCTAAAAAGAAGGAACACTTACTCACAAACCAGCACAACTACAAAATGCATTTTTACCAGCATAATATCATTTCCTCAGAAAACAGCACAATTCAAGCATTTATTTGTAAATAATTCGAGCAAAAACGCACACTCAAATAATTCGGGCAAAAATGCAAACTCATCAAGCAAAGAAATATCATAACGAAACTGCAAACAAGTGTCTATAATATATATATCGGGCCAACAGCACAATAGGAAGTATAAGAATAACATTATACAGTTAACTTCATCGTAGAACAAAATGTACTAATAACATCAGCCATGTGTAGATGTATCAACCCAAGAAAGTACGAGCACGCTATACCGTTTTTATTCCCAAAGGGAAGAACACAAAGTCCTGTTTAATTCCCCAGGAAACAACACATTATTTCAACTTTTGGTAGCACGAACCTAACCAAACACCGGGGCTGATTTTAAGTGCACATAAATGGAAATTAGATATTGCTTATATTAACAAGTGGCACCAGTCTTGTTGGTCTAAAACAAGCAAAATCGTAAAGGTCTTATTAACAGCCCAAAAGCATCTTCATGTATCTACAGAATATTCAAACTGATATTAACGCGCACTTATATCTTATGGTACCAGTAAGCATTTGTATATGAATACATTGTTTCCAGAAGAAACAAACACATATCTGCAGGCATATGACTACGATGTCGCGTTTGCTAGTTGTTCAAAAGAATCGTTAAAGAGATTGTCTTTACCTTAGCCAGTGTTTATCGGCATTGAGTTTTGTTATGACACATTTAAAATTAGAATATTTGCTGCACTGAATTCCTAACGCACAGTCATTGCATGATTCACCCTCGTACGTATATAAAACTAACAGAATGATTCACTCCTTACATGTACACCCATAAACACTTAAAAGTATAATTTACCCCTTACGAGCACACAAATTATAGATGGATTCAACCCCTAATTACATGCATACAAAAAATATTTCACCCCAAATGCGCATAAAAACTTATAGAATGATTCATCTCCTCAAATACACAATTGAACGATTCACCCACTAACGTAAGTGTAATGATATATACACAATCGTATATGTAGGCACTATATTTATTTCCAGGACGAAACTAGTTAAACACCGTTTGAAAAAAATATTTGAATGAAAGTTACTTACTGTTTTGTGCTATTCTCGCCGTCAGGAACCTAATTCCCGAAAAAAGATTTTAAAACGGCAAATATGTATAACGACGACGAGTCTTGTAAGCAACATACACTAGCCATTTGTTATGAAGCCTGTGTATGGTGTTATTATTTAGTCATATATAAATTGAATGATCATTATTTCGGAAAAGTTATAATTAAAAAAATAGGAAGTTGCTCTGTAGTTTTACAAAGATCCTCCCTTGGTGTTTATTATACACTTATTTTGTATTTAGTTATAATGTCCTTCACAAATGTATATGAGCTCCAACATTATTACTAAGTACAAAATAAGTGACAATACTGACATTTAAACGCTACACTTATTTTGCATTCATTATGTAATATTGGCATTAACAAATAGATGGTAATTTCAGATAATTTTACAAAAAATATGTTAATTTTGATTATTAGCATATTTATTATATTATGAATTAGTATACTGGTATTTGTATATACCATGCTGGGTACTTTTAATCCTTTATAGGCTATTTATGTATTGTATAGGTTGTATTGAGATATATAGTTTGCAAAAGAGAGGTGAACGATTCTCAAGGGAAATTCGAACTCATTAGTTGAAAACAAACTGACAATGCTATGGAAAAAAACGAAAAACGACCAAAAGACAAACAACCGGATACAAAATACAACATAAAAAGACTGTGCAACACGAACCCGACCAAAAACAAAAAGTGATCTCAGGTGTTCCGGAAAGGTAAGCTGATCCGGCTCTAGAATTGGCACCCATCGTGTTGCTCATGTAAGTGAATACCCGGTGATAATTCTAATTCGGTAGGTCACATTCATTGTACCAATAGGCTTAACCGTATTTGGCACAAGTTATCGAAATGTTAGGTTTTCATATCTCTTCACCTTGAATTAGAGTTTCAACTGTTTTGATTTGAGAGCCACTGATACGTATGTCAATGCTGGTTGGCTGTATTGTCATCTGTAAATTGCTTTAATCGTGGTATAAACGCGATTTTCTGAATTGATTCGAGTATGTTTAAAATGGTGCTGATCTTTTGATGGATAAATACAAAATAAATAGTCCAACCCTACAAACCTCATTAATGGTTTAATATCTGTTTTTGTCACTTAAAGACCATCGCGGTTCGTGATAGATCTTTCGCCATCCATGTAAAATATTTTTTAACCTGTCTGCACACTGATCGATTTAGATATTCACAGATTTTAAAACACTTTGCTTGCATTAAAATTGTTTTTGTTGACCTCTGTATATTTAGTATGAATTCACGTGTACAAGTATTGTTGTCTAAAGCCTCGGATCTGGATGTATTGATAATTAGTGAATGGATACTCATCTCTCAAAATACCAGATACTCATCTCTCAAAATATCAGATGCAATTATTAAACAACGACGACATGAAAAGTTTCTCAATTAATCTATCAATACAACTTATAACAAGCCTTATTTAAACCGTTCCATGATAGATCATTATAAATCTATATATAATATTTATGTAATATTGTTTGACGATAAATGAAAAATATGTACGAAAAAGGCTTTTGGTAAAAACCACTGAGGATATACATAACATGTCGTTATAGAGAATTTTGCATCTGTTCCAGACCATATGAGTATTTGGACCATACACTTTTTTCGTTCGTAAGTGAAACCACCGTCATTTTGTTCTTTGTTTAGTTCCCTAAGTGTCTGTGGGTAAAACAGTTGACCTCTAGATCTTGTTCAATAGTTCAATAAGATATTTCTTATTAGTGAACTATAAATTTAGAAACTCTTAATTTATGACATTTTGAAAGGTCACACGTTATGTCATTTACATTAAAAGTAACTTTTCAACCTTCATCGTGTTTTAAATTTACCTGAACCATACGCGTATGTTATTACCATACGAATATTATTAGTTTCATAGTGTGCTAGTGACCTAATACGGTATATATGGGGTCAGTAAATTCCATATGGGGTGAGAGCGAAGCTCGAATCCCCATATGGAATTTACTGACCCCATATATACCGTATTACATCACTAGTAGACTATGTAACGAATTTATCTTACCGACTATCTTAACGTGTGAAATTTAGACTAGTGACCTATCAAAATGAGCAAGTCTTCAATACCGTTAGCATTAAGAACTTACTTCCATTGATCCTACAAACACAGATGCCAACAATAACAACTTGTTAGGTTTTAATGTGTTTTATGAATTTATTTCAATCTTCATCATCAATTTTTTCGTCTGTTGAAACCTTTAAGATTTTTTCTCAGTACCGTTTTGTTTTTATAAAGGGACGTAACACCACTAATAACTGTGTATGAAATAAGCCCCGCCTCCCTTCTTACCTAATATGGAATATACACGGTCTCCACGCGGACGCTTTTAACCAATCATATTCCTAGAAATGTATAGGAGGTAAGATAAATACGCATATGGTCATGACCATACACGTATTGTTCAAATACTCGTATGGTCCGGAACGCATCCATTATTAGTAATTGTATGTTTTTGACTTAATTGAGTAACCAAAGTAGCGATACTGTTATAAAATATGAGTTGTATTTTTGTATCAAGGTACATTTGTTACTGTCAAATCTATTTAAAGCCTGCATGATATTTTCGTGTTCAATTCTGTGTTACCTTTAAGTAACAATTGTCCTGGATGCTTACTTTTACTGAAATACAGAGTGCTGTGACATCTTAATACAACTGAAATGCTGGAAACCTTTAATGATTGGCTTTTGTATGCTATTTTTTTCTTGATGCGTGTATTACATTGTTAATCTTCAATGGATGTTGGAGATTCTTGCATTCTGAGTTGTCTGGATACTGACCTCCCGAAATGTTAAGGAGCTGACAGCCCGACATATCAAGGTGTTGGCAACCCAAATGTGAAGATCAGTATATCCAACATGATATTTGATGCCGAACCTCGACACTTTAATGGTTATATAACACACATTTCGGGTTAACCATGCATGAATTGGTTTTAAGAAAACATAAATTGTAAAATAAAGTCAAATTGATTTTCTGTTGAAAAGATCACTGTCGGGGTGCCTTTTTGTTTTCTTTCTTATATTTGGTCACAATAATGGCTCCATATTAATAAAACTTGTCTGGTTTTTCCCTGCATTACATTACTAAAAAACTTTTGATGACTTCAGGGAGGTTGTGACTTTAGATGAGATTTGTAATTGTGCAGAGATATTCAAAGACAGCAAGCATGATGAGTACGGACTTATTCGAATTACCTAAACCAATATTCATAAAATATAATATTCGGTCAGTTAATGTATATAAATAAAGGCAACAGTAGTATACCGCTGTTCGAAACTCATAAATCGATAGAGATAAAAACAAATCCGGGTTACAAACTTAAACTGAGGGAAACGCATCAAATATAAGAGGAGAACAACGACACAACAAAAACACAACATTAAAATGTAACACACACAGAAAAATCTATAATATAACAATGGCCATTTTCCTGACTTGGTACAGGACATTTTAAGAAAAAAATGGTGGGTTGAACCTGGTTTTGTGGCATGCCAAACCTCCCGCTTTTATGGCAACGTCAAACACAACACCAAAACGACAACATCACATGACAGGACCACAATACAAATAAATATATACACTGCGGTATGTTCTATAACTAATCAAAGGTTGATGATAGCGGTTTGTCTTATTCCGATTGGGACATTTTCAGTGAGTGTTGATTCTCATGGCGTGGGTGATGTATGTTCTATAACTAATCAAAGGTTGATGATAGAGTTTTGTCTTATTCCGATTGGGACATTTTCAGTGAGTGTTGATTCTCATGACGTGGGTGATGCATGCATAGTTGGAGACATTTGCTGTGTCGACACATCCGGTCTCACTCCGTCTGGAGTTCATGCGAATCCCTCAGTTTATTCCTATGTATGTAAATGCCAGTACCAAGTAATGCATATGACAGTTGTTTGCCATTCGTTCCGTTGGTTGATATAGTTGAGAGTTTAATTTTGTCTGGTGTTATAGACTTCCTTCTTTTAAAATTTACCTTGGAGCTCGGTATTTTTGTTAATAAATTGTATTAGTAGTTTGGATGCCAGCATATAACCAAAAGGTATGTTAAAGAAAATTAATATTAATATACTTACATTCATATGCTGATATGTCAATATGGAACTTGATAAAGTTAAATTAGCATCCATAAAAGACGATGATGCAATTGCAAATAGCTTTCTTCATTGTCCGATATCACCTTTTACAATAAACATTTACTACATACAGAAATAAAAAGTGACATTTGAATAAAACAATTAAAAAGTTTAAACTATTTGAGAACCAATACCATTTGTTAATCAGAATCTCTTAACACAAGAGATGAAAAATATAAAGACGTTTGGTGTAAGATAAGCAAATGTTGACACTATAATAAAGACGTTTAGTGTAAGATAAGCATATGTTGGCACACTAAAAATGACGTTTAGTGTAAGATTAGCATATGCTGACACTATAAAAAAACGTTGGAGTAAGCTAAGCATATGTTGACACTATGAAAAAGACGTTTGGTGTAAGATAAGCATAATTATGTTGACACTATAAAAAAGACGTTTGGTGTAAGATTAGCATAGGTTGAAAAACATAGAAAAACCAACATGGTTAGAATATACATATAATAACATAATTACAAACACAATTCCATTTTAATACTCTTTTCATGGTTAGAAAATAATAAAATGACACCATTACAAACTCAATTCCAATTTTATATTCTTGTACGTGTCTACAATAAAACAAATTTGTTATATTTTTAGAAATTAATCTGTGATAATACAAACGTCATAAAAATACGTCACTTTTTGTGGCGTTGATATATTCGTGTGACGCGCAGTTTATACTTCGTTTGTTGTGTACTGGTGTAATGTCGTAAATTCATGGGGGGGTGTCCGTTGTTATTCTGTGGTTTACATGTTGTTATGTACTATTATATTATTTATTTATGTATTTCTCTGTTCTGGGTGTTCTTGCCGGTGTTCTTGCATTTTCTTGTATTGTATTCCTGTCAAGTAATGTCATTTTAGTGGTATTTTTAACATTGCAATATAAGCGGGAGGTTAGGCTAGCCATGAAACTAGGTTCAACCCACCATTTTTTCTTAAAATGTCCTGTACCAAGTCAGGAATATGGCAGTTGTTATCAAATAGTCCGTTTCTATGTATGTTGGCGTTTGTTTTTGTTGCAGTT